TGGAACCACATGGCTCTGGCTTGTAGATCTCAGCTGTATCTGTGGCTTATGCTGATTTTCCACCTATAGTGGGCTATGAAAATTCACTTGTCTTAATTTCAGAGTGAGACATAAGTAGGGGCGGTTAGATTGATAGCATCTCCATTACCAAATCAATGAGTCCATGGTTGTCAGCATTATTTCTAGAGTTTGCAACCTGTCTGAGCCTCGGTTCACTCCTCTAGGAAATGGAATGAAGTGAGGGAGAATAAGATCATATGATGTGTGGGCCTTTCTCAACATTAAAGTAGATCATTGCCATCATTTGAATTCAATGTTATGATTTTAATTAAAACCTTTGTTAATATCTAGATTGGTATCTTATAGAGGCATCTTACAGACAAAAGGATAAGTTCATTTCATCTGAAAGGTTAGGGTTTTCTTTGGTTTGATATGTTTAGCTTGACTTTTAAAATTCTTGAACAGACTTTATTTCTATTCTTAATGTATTTTTATCTATTTTAATTATTCTGGCTTTTTCTCAAGTAAATCTGCTATTTTTAGAATAGATTTCTATCTTTAATCTCCCATAGCTGTGTTGGCTCTCATTTTATTCTTGGTTCTTCATTTCTGCTTTCTGGGAAAATATCTCAAATTTGTCCTTCACAACATTGACTGGACTTACTGTAGGTTCCACTAGCACAAATGTGTATTTTAATTACGCTTTCTTTTTCCATTTTTGTCTTTCTCTAGAAATATTTCTTAACAGTCATGCTTGTAATTACTTTATGTTAGTTTTTCATTTGGGGATCTTCTTTGCTAATGAATTTTTGCATTTATTTCAGAGAAATCAGCTGTCATTTAGCCTACAAAAAATACCAGCTGAGTAAATGATATCTCTGTTGTTCAAGGGCATATGATTTCTGTGATCATTTTTGGATGTTGTTTCACTTTCTTTGTGCTCTCATATTTTTCCCACAAACCCCATGGTTCTTTGTATGTTTTTCCCTTTAACTTTAAGAAATGCAAATTCTCTTGTAAAGTCATTTTGCTGCCAGGGCTATAATTTTCTCCTTCTTCTGATACTTAGCTCTTTGACATTTTCCACTGAGTAAGGGAGAAACTGCACTCATCAACCTGTATGACTCCTAGACCCTTCCTGACTTCATCATCTCATGCAGCACTTCACCTGTGATCATTTTCCATCTCGCTAGGTTCTTGTTATATGGTGAAAGAGAGAGGTGGAACGCAGGCTGGAGAAGTGGGCGGCAAATGGTCTCAAAATAGAACATCCCTGTGGCGGAGTTCTGGGTGTCCCGATTTCTAGTTGCTTTGTACCTTGGGTGTCTGGGCTAGAATCAGTCAGTGGGAAAGAAGCAAAATAGCTCCTGACCTTCTCTAAGACCAGCAAGTTTATCCTGTTTTCAATAGCAAAGCATGCATCCATGAGATATTGATGATTTTTGCCAATCCAACCCATTTATCTTATAGTTAACTGAATTGTCTCCCCGATTCTGCCCTGGCAACACTTAATGATTAATCCTAGGATTTTTTTTTTAATTTTGTAGAGAGAGAGAGAGAGAGAGAGAGAGTGTGTGTGTGTGTGTGTGTGTGTGCGCGCGCGTGCATGCATGCGCGCGCATGGTAATGCATATTTTTTACTATTTCCAAGTCACCTTAAATACTTTAGTGACAAGTGGGGAGAAGCTACAGAAGGAACAGTTAATACCACTGCACTTAAAATGAGAATCCCTAAAGCAACAAATAAATAAGATTTTAAGGATAATATGTGTGAAAGTTTTGATACATAAAATATATCTTACAATTAAGAGAAAAAATAAAAACATTATGTATAAGAAATAGCTTTAGTATAAATGCTCCATCAAGTGTGTGAACACCGTAGGCTTTTTCAGAGAATTATCAACATAATGATCATCTGAATTACAGTAACCCAGATGTTGATCCTTTACTGTTTCACCCGCTTCTTCATTTTCCCTACACCAATATCCAGTTAGCTCTTCGGTGTTTTCAGTGTTCATTTAGAAGAGAAGGGAGGGGTTCACATTATTCATGCTTTGGAGATTAATGATATAGTCAATCATCTGAAATTCACATGGATCATTACTGCCTTCACATTAATTTATGCTCAATTAACATGCTTAGAATCAGTTTTCTGTGGAGTTTAGCCAATTGGCTTTATAGTTTCTGGCTCTGCAAGGTTCATTTTGCTCTGATCACTAGTAATACGAGTAGCGCCAGTCCTCCTTCCTGTCATTAAAGTCTTCAGGGCTTTGGTTTTGCTCATAAATTGAATGGGGCCAGTACGTGATGGGATGTTGTGACAGAGTTCCTGGATAAAAGCCACATTGCTACATCCTGGCAACTGTCCTCCATGCAGATGTGATGCTCAGCCGAGCAGCAGGGTCACAGGTGTATCTTTGTTCTGGTGTATTGGAAAGGTCACCGGCAGAACGCCGTGTTACACTCAGAGAGATGGGAAGAAGTATTGTCCGCACTTGAATACCGTTCTTCTAGGAGGAGGGAGGGAATCAGCAGGCCTTCTTTTCCTGTAGTGAAAATCAGCAGGAACATGGCTTTTTCCATATTGGACCTAGAACTAATGTTTTAGGAATCGTTGACAGTGTGCTTAGGGGTCTATGAAACATAGGAGAACATGCAATCCTTTTTTGTCCAATGTTTAGGTGAAAAGTGAATTTATAATAATGAACATTGAAAGTATTATGAATTAATTCACTTGGACTGCTGTCATGGTTGTGGAACTAAATAAACTTCTGTTCCTGCATATTTCTCCACATTCTAGGTAAAAATCTAAAGCTGTTTTCCTTTTTTTTCTTTTTAATTAAGGCATATAAGACATCTTTCTTTCTTTCTCTGTCTCATTCTCTTTCTCTCCCTTTCCTTTCCTTTCCTTTTTTTTCCTTTCCTTTCCGCTTCAGGCTAAGAGAATTTCAATAAATGGTTTTACAGGTTGAGTATCTCTTATTTGAAATGCTTGGGATAAGAAGTGTCTCAGACTTGAGGTTTTGCGGGGGGTTGGGAATGTGTACATATGCATCAAGAGATATCTTGGGGATGGGATCCAAGTCTAAACACAATATTTATGTTTTATATACACCTATACACATAGCCTGAAGGTAATTTTATACCATAGTTTTAGTAATTTTGTTCACGAAACAATGTTTTGGCTGCATTTTGACTATGAGTCATCACATGAAGTCAGTGTGGAATTCTCTACTTGTGGCATCATGTTGGCACTCAAAAAGTTTCAGATTTTCAGCATTTTGAACTTCAGATTTTCAGATTAAAGCTGCTCAACTTGTCTTAAAAGAAACGGCCTTTCACTATAGATCAACTAGGAATTTAGTAATTTACTCAGATAAATCAGTAAAAAAAAAAAGGGAGTAAGGCTAGAAAAATATAAAAACTAAACAAGAAGGGATATGATTTTTGCTGAAGGTTCTTCTTGCACCACCACCACCACCCCCCTGACACCAAGGTCACATTGATTTGTCACCCGTCAGTGTCTGCTCCAATGTAAAACACACACTATTCTAATATATTTTCTCTCTAACTGTTACTGTTTTCATGTCAGGAATAACATTCCAAGCTGGAAGACTAAGAATGAAGACATATAGTATGGTGATCCCAACAGCAAAATTACTTGATGTGCTGTTCTAGAGAACGCTGACTATTTATCAGAAAGAGCCCAGGGAAAATTAGAAGTCCTTGTTTCGGGCTCTGTGTTCTAGCCCAGAAAATTTGGTACAAAGAAAACAATAGAAAGAACGACCACTTTTTCCACCCTTACTTTGGCCCAAGGCATTGTTGTATGTGCCTCTTAGGCATATGGGGTGGGTACTATGTTTTCTCCCTTTCCTAGATGTGTAACTGGAGGCACAGAAAGGCAAATATATGCTCCAGATGACAAAAGTAGTAGTGGCAAGCAGAGATTCGGGCCTCCATTTGCCCAATCCAGAGCCTGCCCATTTGCCACAGTGCTATGTGGCCTTCAAGAGAAATGGGCCAGATGCTTTGTGAGGGGCAGAATGTCTAAGCTCAGTTCTGGACTACTTTGAATAAAACTAGGACAGAATTACCTACTGGGTCAGACAAATAATCCGTAAGACCCATTCAGCCTTCTCCAATAAAGGATCCAAGAGTTCTTTTGTGACAAAGTGTGACTCTTCTCTGTGACAGTAACCTGAAAAAGAAAGGTTCTGGTAGCCACATATTTCATGCGCCCTCATTGACTGTCATGACTCCCTCACTCATCATGACTGGCAGACTCCACAGAAATGCGGGAGACAACAGAACATACTTGTTGAAAAATTAGTGAGCAAAAATGGTGAAAGTTAGAGAAAACTGAAGAATATGGAGGATAAGTATACAATATAAGCTCAAAAGAGTAGTCAAGGTAAAACCAGTAAAGAGAATAAAAAATAGACGATATCTTTGCAGAAAAATGAGATTTTCTTTTACTTCACTAAAACTCATAACATATATTGAGTGTTTCCTCTGTGTCAGGCACCACTAGGCTTAGTACTAAGAATAAGTAAATGAACACATAATCCTTACCCCCAAAGAATTTATAACCAAATAGTTGATATACAGAAACATAACTGACTATACAAAGATGGGAGCAGCATTTTTTTGAGAATCCAAGAAAGGGAGTAAAGATACCTGAAAGACTGAAGATGGTGTGGACCTTAATGTGTTTCTTTCATCTAGTTCCAGGGATTTTTGGTTTTTATACAGGATAAAAAATGAAGCTTGACACCAGTGTGGTATGAAGTTCTGGACCCAGCTAGATGCTTGGGAAGGTGGCATTTTTGTTTGACCTATGTACATATAACTCAGAATACAGTATGGAATTTTACTAACTTGTTTTTCAAGCACTAGATATGTTTCTTTTACATGCCCTCATAATATGAACATAAATTTCTAAAGCCGATAAAAGGACTAATTTATTTAAAATGAATTGAATCAATGAACCACATCAATAAGACACAGTATAATATTTTATTAACCACCAAAAATGGAAATCCTGTTTTATGGATGACACAAGCCTTAAGACAATTTTTTTTTGTGTGTTCAATATTGAGGAAATCATAATTCATAACACTACCCTCAAAGCCAGAAGACTAAGTTGTTCTAAAACATGAAAATAAAGTAAGAAAGCAAATTTTAATTAAATAATTTAACTTGAAATATTACCAATAATTACCAACTGTTCACATTTCTTCTCATGAGTATAAAAATCAGACAAGAAGCACTTAGAGCCTGAAAGTAGCATTAGACGTTTTCTAATGTGATATTACTATTAAATCATATATTCTGTATTTTCATATAACTATTAACTTCGTGCCATGACCTAGCTGTTATCTTATAGATCCCTGAGACCCTTGCTTGGTATTTAATGGCACACATGGGTTACTAAAGCTCACCTAATAGTACCATTTTGTTAGGTACAGCTATTTTTTTTCTACTTTTAAATGTACATTATAATTTTTAAAATTATGCACTGAGTACGGTGGGAGAACATACTGAGGTCTACACAAGAAAATAATAATCCATATAGCAATAGTTAACATATTAGTAATTTGGAAATTAACATTGGCATAAAATACACATGAGTCCATATTGTTGTTTTTTATTAAATGATAAAAATATTTATACCTGTGAAGTTAAATTTTAAAAATACAAGTTTGTAGACTCACTAATGCACTTGGTATTTTATGGGGCTAAAACTTCTTCCTGCTACAGTCAAAATGGCTAAAATGAATTCCTTTATCAGTAAATATTGTTGGAAGATGAAGAGACATTCTTTGAAAATTTGAAGAAGCATTAGGACAAGTTATTCAGTACAGAAGGTGTTCTGTAAAACTGGTAAAGAAAATAGATGTTTCTAACACATCTCAACTTAAGATATTTGCTGAATTCTGTTTTAAAATATTGAAATGTATGTACAATTTTTTTTCCTGAGCCAATAAAGGAAGCATAACAGAGAAAATACGTTTTTCAAAAAATAAATGCCTTTGGTAAAAACAATGTTTTATGGAAAACAATACAAATATAATCACTGCTGAAAATTAGACTGTGCAAGAATAAGTCTCTTCTATTACAACATTCATTGGCAAATGATTACGACAAGAATTTGGAGGCAGAAAATGCAGAAAAGTGATATAGGATGTTATTGATGCAGTTAACATAATTAAAACAAGACTTCCTTGATAACTGTAAAAGAAATTTACTAATAGTTTGTAATAATGCTCAGAATTTTTATGAGAATCTGTTGTACTCAGATATTCACTATTGACCTTCTGGAACTCATGTATTGCTAAACTCAAAGATGAGTAACACCTTTTTAAAAAACAACAACAGCGACAACAAACAAGTGTTCCAAATGTGCTGACATTTTCTGGGCTGACAGTAGTTTCTCAGTCATATGCTATTTAGCTTAACATTTTAGAACATGGATACTTCATCTATCCTTTTATAGCAAAAATGCTCTTTGATTAATATTTGACAGAGACCTCCTTTTTGTATGTAACTTGTACAAAGTAATGATAATTTTAAATGAATATTTAGAAACATTTCCATCAAATATTTGAGTATTTGACTTTGTAACTAAATACACAGTTTTTCCAATCTCCATTTTTCAAATATATGGAAGCAAACTTTTAATAATTATTTTAGAAGCAAAATTTCTGGGTCTTCCAAATAAGTGTTTTAGTGAATTTTAAATCAATCTGTTTAACCTAACAAATGTAAGACATTTAAATTAGTTTTTAAAAAAGACATCAAAGGACATGGAAATCAACCAACCACATTTTAACAAAAGCTTTTGTATCGTAGCATCAATACTTACTCATTATAGTCAACAAATTAATTATTTCATTTGAATTAATATTTTACAAGGCAGCTGTGTCAATTACATCACATTAGTCATTTTCCATGCATATAAAAGTAATGTTTAGATTATACTATAGTCAATTAAGTGTGCAATACCATTATGTCTAATAAAATGTGTATGTATCTTAATTTTAAAAGTAATTTATTGTTAAAAATTGCTAACAATCATCTCAGCTTTCAGCGAGTTGTAATCTTCTTGATGGTGGAGGGTCTTGCCTCAATGTTGATAGCTGCCTACTGATCAGAGTGGTGGTTGATCAGAGTGGGGTTGCTGTAACAATTTATTAAAAGGAGACAATGATAAAGTTTGCCACATCAATTGATGCTTCTTTTCATGAAAGATTTCTCTGTAGCATGCAATGCTGTTTGCTAGCATTTTTCCCATGGTGGAATTTCTTTCAAAATTTTGAATCCTTTCAAACCACATCTCTGCTAAGTTTATGGAATATTCTAAATCATTTGTTGTCATTTCAGCAATGTTCACAGCCTCTTCACCAGGACTGATTTCATCTCAAGAAACCACTTCCTTTGTTCATCTCTAGATTACTTATAATACCTAACACAATGTAAATGCTATGTAAACAGTTGTTACCCTGCATTATATAGGGAGTAATGGTCAGGAAAAAATGTCTATGTTCAGTACAGACATAATATTTTTCCAACTATTTTCAGTATATGGTTGGTTGAATCCACGGATGCTTAACCCATGGATACAAAAGGCCAACTGCTATTTATGCCATCATATTTCTATGTATAATCAAAAGAATGGGAAGTTTGTTATTTATATTTCTAAAGTCACATTAAACTTCTATCTGTTCTCCTAGACCTGTGGTGAGGCCAACTCCTAAAGTCCTTTCATTGAGAGCATATCAGAAAAGCAAGACAGAAAGTGGTATATTGATTATTGTAGTTTGATTATCCATTCACTTGGAGCTACAAATAGTTATTGCTTATATTTGTTTTAGGCTCCTCAGAAACAGCTTTTAGGTAGACATTATTAATAGTCACATCATTTTTAAATATGAAGGTTTGCAAGCCAAATACAAGGTCCAGAAGTAAATTTAGGCAAGAATGAATTCAACACAAGATACGGAGATGTATAGGGATGAAAAACATTGAAAACCTTTTAAAGCCCCTCTTTATTTCAGTTAATGACCAATGCTTGGGTTTCTAAGTGTATTGAAAAATAAAGAAAGGTTGAGTGGGGCTTATGAACTAAGAAAAACAAGTTCATGCATTCAGTTTTGTGCCATCTTAAATGCAAATGATTATGAAAGCAGTTATGACTGAAAGGCCATACCATTACATGACATATTGCTGTGATTGATTCTGCACAGTCTCAGTAGCCCTCTCATTGATTTTCCTCAATCATCTCACAGTGGATGATTTCTGTTTGGTCTACTACTCACTAATTATTTATGAAATTCTGCTTTTATTGCTACCATTTGTTTAATGGAATCTACACAGTGGAGAGATTTTGCTCTGTTTATCATAGTACTCTGAATTGTAAATAATGGATTCAGAGAAGAAAAATGTCCCATGTTTTCAAGTGAGCATATGAACTGCCTCATTTGAAGATACCATTTAATACAGTGAAAACTGGGAGAATCAGAATGAATCAGAAGTAGATAGATTCAAGTGTGTGTGTGTATGTGTGTGTGTGTTAGAAACAATAATCACATAAGCTTAGAAGATACTGTGGATGACAGTAAGAAGTGTATGAGAAGAAGAAACTGTAGCATAAATATAAGGCAAAAAGTTAAATGTTTCTAATATGTCTACCTGGTTGAAATCATAAGGCAGATTCCACCTAGTATACTTAATTATATTTCTAAAGGGACTACTGCAAAAGATAAGGGCAGTTTCTGTCAGAGCAGACAGTCGTTTGATGCAGTCTTTTCTCTTCTTCCAAAATAACTACCAAAGGAAAAGTGGAGGGAGTTTACTTCTGGCACTAGCTGATGGTGATCTTACCCATGAGAGCTAATCCTGCTGGAAATTTGCTCTGATCCCAATATTGACAGCTGTATACTCCTCTGTATTAAAACTCTTCCTTATCAACCCCTTTCTTAGTCACAATCTTTACTGTTCTTTCCAGTGTTAAGCATTGAATGTCTCTTTACCACCTTGATGCTCTCAGTTATCATCTCAATTTCTATAATAGAATCTCCAACTTCTCACTGTTCACTACCCCTTGATTACATAAACATGCTCAAGTGTCTCCTGTCTTAAATGTTACTGCAGAACACGGAAAACCTTCCTTGACTTCATGCTCCCCATTATATAATATTCATTCATTTGTTGTTTTATTCAACAAACGTTGTTTTGCAAACCTATTGTGGTTCAGGTATTGTTCCACAGTATGGAATTATAGACATATAGAACAGTAAACATGCAAAGATGCAAGAAAATGGAAGGTAATTAAGAGCAATAAGAAAAATAAAAAATATGATAAATGTTGATAGGCCAATTGGGTCATCAGTGAATGAGAATTAATGCTAAAAAAATTGTGCTGTCATAACCTGGGGTCAGAGTGCCCCTGCACTCACTAGCTCCATAGATAGTGTCACGATCCCCGACTCCAAAAGGAGTTTTGACATATTTGAAAAACAGAAATAAGTTCAGTGTGGGTGAAAGATGTGTGTAATGGGGTACATGAGAAAAGTCAGACAGGAGAGTAGGAGCCAGATCGCACAGGACCTTGTAAGGGAGGACCTTGTAGGGTATGGAATGTTACTTTTATGTAAAGTCTAAGTGGGAAGACATAGAAGGATTTTAAAGAGGAAATCAGATGACTTATTTAGACCTTTTAGCCATGACTTTGGATGTTTTAGGGGGATACCAAGGAAAGAATAGAAACAGGAAAACCAATTAGAAGACTTCAGAGGTTTTAGGAGACTAGAGATAATATTTATATTATTTTTATTATTAAAATAACTATAAACAAGTGAAAGATTTGAAATGTGTTTTGGATTTAAAATTATCAAGACATCTTGAAGAGCTAGGTATTAAATATAATGGAAATCTAGGAAGTAAGTATAACTTTAAGCTGTTAGTTTGAGTACTGGGTACATATTAATAATTGTGCTTGTGGCTGAGATGCAAAAGCACAGATGAGGAACAAGTATAAGAAAGAACCAAGAGATACGTTCACGCTGGCTAAGTTTAAGGCAATTAGATATATAGTTCTGGAATTTGAGTGAGTGGTCAGGGCTGGACTTATAAATTCACAGTAAATATTTAAACCTAAAGATCCCAAAATATATGAGATTCTGTAGATTAAAAAAAAAGAAAAACATCAACAGGTAAAGAGAGCCCAAAGCAGAGCTCTGGGACCTACCCGTATGTATACGTCCAACAGAGGAGGAAAAGGCAGGCAGTGTGAGAAAAATTTAGAAGTGGTATCAGAGAAGAGCAGAGGATGGTTAATAGTCAAAACTGCCAATCATGTTGGATGCTGCTAAGAGGACAGGTAAAATAGAGTGTAAGGTGTGGCTGTTGCATTTGGAAAAATGAAGATCACTGATGAGTTTGAGAAGAGTAAAATCACTGCAGTAATGGATAGGTAATGTCAGGTGGAGTGAGTACAAGAAAACAGAGGGAAGAAGGAGGTGGAGATGGTTATTACAGCTCTTTTATTAAAATTGCTGTGAAGAAAACAGCTTAGTTTATAAAGCTGCTATCTCAATATCATTATTTTCGATAGAACTTACTGTAACCACTTCCACTAAGACACTTTCGAACGGCCTTTAAATGCATTACTTTCATGAGCTTAAATACTAAATTGTTCTTAACTTTGATTCATTAGGTTTAGTTTAGTTTCTATAACATAGAGAAAACTACTAATTTCAAGCTATAAATAGATAAGAAAAATTCTGGTTTAAAGAAAATATTTAAGTGTGACTTAGTTGTGATATAAAAGCTCTTTTCCCCTGAATTTAACGAAAATGGTTAAACTATCATTAGGTAGTTAACCACTGCTAGTTCAATGTTGATTCATTGAATAATAATTTTGAGTATAAAAATTGAATTTTTATTCCTTGCCACTGTAATGTGAAACTTAGGAAAAAATGAGTTAATTTGAAATATCTGTCTATTCCAAAAATGCTAACCACTAGAGAATTGAAACCTAAAATGATATCCAATAAAGGCAGTCTCTGTGCTCAGTAGTGCCAATTTTGAGCTTCTGCAAAAACTGTAAAATATCATACATTTTAGTATGGGAATGCTGTACTAAATCTGCCACCTGTTATTTCTATTTCTGATTGTCTTAATTTTTCCAGGAATTATTAACATTTGGCTGCATTTTTATAAACTTTCAGAAAGAGACTTTTGGCCATGCAGGTCCTTTTGACTAATGTAAGTCATGCCAATCAGAATAAAAATTGGCTTAGCTTACAGAGTTCCTTTATGAAAGGAGCCTTGTATAACCCTATGATAAGTCAATTTTTATGACATGCCTTCCAGAATTTTAACTACAGAGTTGTCTTTTTTTATTATGGAATACAATTTATAGTAATGTCTAGTATCTCTGTCTCTAAATGATAAGGTACGTATTGGAATTAAGCATTTCAGGACCTATCAAAATTTAAGTGATTTATATCAATACTTTATTTCTTGATGAAGTGATATATTAAAATCTTAAATTAACTCACTGTCTTCGATAAATGCTTAATAGATGTTCTAAGGAAAGGAACTTTTGGACTGTAACATGAATTTTAAATTTAATTTAATAAGGTAAATGTATGTGTTAAGTATTCTTTAAGCAGAAGCAGTTTAAAAATTGAGTTCTATTTTAGTACTGCTTTAAATATGTCATTAAAATAATTCTTTCTTAATAGGGTACCCATATTTTATAAAATTTTTATAAAATAGGGTTAGGCTATTTTCTTGAAAGAAATAGGCACTTACAATGATCATAAAGCTTGCAACTTATGCCTTTTGTAGGATAAGAACTGTGAAAATCTAATGAAGCAAATTTTAGCTTAAGTGGGATGTACTGAATTATTACTGCACCAGTGTCAATCCATTTTACATTGGAGAAAAAAGATTATTATCTGCCAATTATATTTGCATGTTCTCTTTAAGGTAGAATATTTAAGACTGAATCTTGCTTTTTAGAATACTTCATTAAAAAAAGAGTTCAAAATATTGGGTTGTTAATTGAAAATATATATAATGCAAATTAGGATATTTTAACAAATAGTTAAAATTTTGCCTTCCTGCCCAATATTTTAAAATTCTCAGTGCAAGGGGCCTTAAATCAACAATTTGCACGGATTCAATATGGCAATTAGGATGAGTCTTAAAGACTGAATCTATGAAAATAAAACAGCTTTCACCTTAAGATTTATTGAAGATTTTACACTGTACAAAACAAGCAAATGAACTCCAATACCAATGTACGCAAAAAAAAAAAAAAATCTGATGGAATATTATTTAAGGTCTTATAATAAACATATTATTTTTACATATCAAATCTCAAATAATTGAATTAATGATCAAATCAGCAACAAATATAATGACATAAGCTACAAAAATACGTTAAAGAATAGTAACTGTCTCTAGGTGGCTTAATATAATACAGTAATGTAACCAGCTGGTAAGTAACCTGCTGTTTAGCTGCTCTGCCCACTCCAACCACCATAATTCTGATCACAGGTCTCAGCTGGACTTACCTAATTTAAATATTCTTCCTAACATATAAGAAAACACTTTTAACTTAGAATTTTATAAGTACAACAAAAATATTAAGAAAAATTATCACACCATAGAACTAGTCATATTAAGCACTAGAATCAATAACACATTATAAATATAGCTGGATATGATGGCTCTTGCCTGTAATCACAGCAGTTTGGGAGGCCAAGGTGGGAGGATCAGTTGAGCTCATGAGTTCAAGACCAACTTGGGCAACATGGCAGAACCCTGTCTCTACCATACATTTAAAAAATTAACCTAGCATGGTGCGCACCTGTAGTCCCAGCTGCTCTGGGGGCTGAGGCAGGAGGATCACTTGAGCCCAGTAGGTAGTTGCAGTGAGCTCTGATTGTGCCACTGCACCCCAGCCTGGGCGGCAGAGCAAAACTCTGTCTCAAAACCAAAAACCAGAACAAAACAACAAAATAATAATGTGCAGCATTGTCCTAAGTATCATATCAAATTTCTCATTACTAGAGAATTTATAGAACACTTGCAGATTTTAGACAGGGAGGTGAGCTATTATATAATAAAACACATAATGAAATCTTAGGAGCTTCCATGTTAAAAAGCGCTACTTTTTTCCTCATGCATTAGTTCAATTTAGGGCATATGGATTAGTGTCAGGATCGAGGGAAGGGCTCAGCTCTCTGCATTTATTCAAGGACACATCTAGTGCCACTTCCATCCACCCACTAAGGCCTCAGAGTTCCCCACTGTATTTTGTCAGTGCAGCCAGTGGAGGCAAAAAAAAAAAAAAGAAAAGAGAGAAAACATGAAGAATGGCATTGAAGTTTTTTGTTTTGTTTTTATTTTTGTTTTCCCATGTCTGAAAGTAGAATACATACTTAAAGCCAATCATATGGGTTACAACTTAGCCCTGTGGCCTCAGACAAGTACACAGAAGCCTGGGAAATGCAGTCTGGTTGTGTACTGAAGAGGAAAAGGGTTTGATAGGTCCCGGGCATTATCTCTAATATTCAAGGTTTCCAATTTAAGTAAAACATTTGGGTTGAGTTCTTTATTTTTCCTATGTCAACACCATTTTCACACCCTCACGTGTGAATAAATGCCTTCCACTGTACTTTCTTAAGAACTCACATTTGTGCACATTTCTGTATGTCTCTCCTACTGCTACCTTATTTCAGGTTCTTACTCTTTCAAACTGAGATTGATGAATCATTACATAAATGATGATCTTCCTCTGAATGCTTTCCAGGGATCTCCATATACATTCCCAAGTGATCTTTTGAAAAGCACACATGATCCTATCACTTTCTGCTTAAATCCTTCAATAGTTACCTCCCTTTATAGCAAAAGCCCAGATACTGAGCAGGTAATATAAAGACCTAAATCCTTAGCACAATATGACAGAAATTGAAGTTTCTAATATCAAGGCTTTCATTGTGATTGTAGAATCTTTCTCGTTTTACCACATCTTAGATGTTGAAACTTGGCAGATTTTCCTGAAGCCAAAGCCTATGCTCTTTTTCTACTCTGACAGGTGATAACTTCATGTGAGTCATCCATAATCTCATTGATCTCAAGGAATCATACCCATGTAATAAAATATTATTATTAGGTAAGAATAGTGTTACAACAGATTTTTGGCTACCTAAAACTGAATATTACATGCTTGGATATTGAATAGATCACTAGTGTTAGGATACACTACTTTTACTGGATTGCTACAATGAATATATATATTTAAAATACATTGAGAGAAGTATGAAAAAACATATATTTTATTACATGCAATCCAATAAAAATAATACACTGTATATACATATTTCTGTATATGTATATTCACGTAAAGAGGCATGTTTATACAGATACATATGTATACATATGCATCTTTTTATATATAAAGATACATATAGTATGTGTCTGTATAAACAGATTAAATCTTGTGATCACCTTCATCAGATCTTGCCAGAAATGAGTGCCCCACACCACATGCTCTGCCTTGCTTCAGTTCAAAAACCATTCCTCAAACTCATTGTTCCTATTCCAGGTTATGCTAGGATTCCATTGCCTCTGTTGACAACGAAGACTGATATTCTGTGAGTACTGATCTCCACTGTCAGTGATCAGGGACGGTGCTGTCTCCCTGGTTTCCTGAGGGAAGGATACACTACCACTTTTATATTATGTTTTGTCATGAATTATGTTGTCCTAAGGGTAGGAGTAATATGGTTATCATTTCACACAGTCCAACTGAGATCAGTTTGACATTTTTCATTTAAAAGTAATCAAATTTGGACATCGGATAGTAGAGTGTCATTAAGTTACCTGTTAACTCTTGCACCTCCCCAGATGCACTTTAGAGAATTTTATATGGTTGCTTCTTTTTCTCACCCTGGGGCTGCTTCTAATTAAAGGCAAGAGGCTCATCCCCTATATCCATATCTCCAGCCTGCAAATAAAAATTCAACACTGACTTCCAAAGAAAGAGGAAGTTTCTATTGCTCAGTTTCTTAAGTCCCCATTTAATTCCTCAGAAGTGACACAAATGACAATTTCTTTTAGGGAAAACTCCTATCCACGGGCTGTAGTTTAGCTCTTCGACCTCAGTAAGACAATCATACACATGATAACTCAAACATTCATTCATTAATTCAATATATATATTATATGCCAACTTTGAACTAGACATTGATGATTATTAAAATTGTGAAAACAAACTATCTGATCTCATTGAACTTATTTTCTAGGAGGGAGTAGATGATAAATAAAAATATTTCATGTAATAGATTTGGATGAAAGACAAAAGATGATGTAAGTGGCTTATAACTGAGGGAACACTCAAAATAGTATAATATCCGAATGTGGGTTACTAAATCCCAAAGAAATATAAAACGCTATATGTGACACCAAATAGGATTGCTGCAAGCTGGCACCAATTCTTTTTATCACTTATCAGAGGATCCCCAAAAAGACTGAAGTCTAATCTCTTTCCTTTTCATTTTGTAATCTCTAAATCTGGCTTATTCAGGGATTTGTAAAATTATGGTAATACAGCATGAACTATATGAAGACTTAGTTATTTTCACTGCGGTTTCAGGTCCAAACCTCTCCATTGTTTATTCATATTTTCAAGAGTGGTTACTTAACATTCTTATTTCATTTTCCTTTAGGTCCCAATACACTAATTTATTTGTAAAACACAACATCTTTTGCAAAATGAAAGAATATATAACAAACAGAGTCATAAACAATCAAAACAATGTGGGTTTAGGTAGATCCTTAGTGGCAGTTTTATTAAGCTGACTTTTTTTTTAAACTATATTAATTTGGCAAGTGCTAACATAATCCTTTCTATATGACAGTCTCATTTTATGACAAATTACAGAATAATTATTACTGCTTTATGGAAAAAACATTCTTCCATATAAATGCAGTTTTAAAAAGCTGGTTCATTTCTTGATATTTATTATATCATAGGAATTTATTTCAAATAGTATTACAGAATCCAATGGGAAAAAGAATTTAATATGCAAATATTTACCTTAAAGGTACTTTTTAAATATGTATGATAAAAATACATGTAAAAATTTAGAGTTAACTTCCACCTTTATTTTATCTTGCTACATGTTCTCATACTATAGGTTTTGTAAGTTCATCTGGGTTTTCTTTGAGCTAGCAAAGCCTATCTTGATAAACTGTGAAATGTCTCTTCATTTCTTTACTTTTTTCCTAAATCTTCTATTTCTTTCTTCATTAACATTACCATCAGAACATTTCTTTGCATTGAATTATTTATAATGTGAATATTCATTTCCTTGTATTATTATTGTATATTATACTGAAACCAGCATAATATAGCTTTGAGTATTAAATATAAGTATGTTTTTTACGTAAGAGTGAGTTTTAGTACCTAAAACAGGTATCTCATCAGTCCCACGTCTTGGTTTAACATATGCTCAGCAGAAACTCAAGCCCCATAATATTAAATAGAGGGTAAGTGTATGTTTGAAAAGATCTCATTGGTAGGTTTTCATCAGAAAAAAATACATCCTGGTATGAAAGCCATTGCTTTGTGAGAGCAAAAGGACCAGACAGAGGAAAGTAAGATTAATGGGAATTCATGATGGGGGGGTCAACCTTTTTATTTCCTTCCTTTTTATTATAGGAACCCCATCTTTTTCAGGGTACTTGGTATTTAAGATTTGAACTGCTTATGTTGTTAATAAAACTTTCACACAAGTTAGATTTGCAATTCATAAACCTAACTAAAGATGTGAATTTCCTTCATAGCAAAGCCTTTTCCTCCAATACTACTTGGGCACTGATACTAAATGACAGAAACAGACCCGGTGAGGTGGCTCATGCCTTTAATCCCAGCACTTTGGGAAGCTTCAGTGAGAAGATCACTTGAGCCCATTAGATCAAGACCAGCCTGGGCAATATGGTGAGATCTTGTCTCTACAAAAAGTTTAAAAAAAAGTAGCTGAGCAGGGTGGCACCCTGTTGTCCCAGCTACTTGAAAGGCTGAGATAGGATGATCGCTTGAGCCTGAGGAAAAGGTTGCAGTGAATGTGCCACTGCACTGCAGCCTGGGCAACACAGTGCAACTCTGTCTCCAATAAATAAATGACAGAAATCAGGCTTCCTTGAAATATAGTTTTGTCCTATACAACTTTTTTCCTTTCTCAAGGCCTTTCACCTTGGAAGACTATACTTCTGCACCAAGCAGGAACAGCGACAAAAAAATTTGAGCAAAGGAGGATGATGGCATGTAATCACTTATTTTATATGTGTTCTGTCTCAAAACAGTAACTTCCTAGACAGTATTTTTCAGACATAACATTCCACATGTATTTCACAGCATTTAATGGAAGGCAGAATCATTACCAGGTTTTTTAGGTAGAAAATGTAATTTTTAGTACGGTGGGAAAATTCCCTAGACCTTTCCTGCAAAATATTAATTCAAGTAGCTTTTAGTGAGTATTTCATGTATGGAAAAATATAAGATCGTGTGATATAGTCTCTGTACTCAAAAAGCTTACAAGTAGTAGAGGAAACAAAATATGAATTAGGCAGTAAAATGAAATGGTATAGAATTAAATTTTTAAAAGGATTATATATTAAGATATAAAGAAAATCATGAATGGTACAAAATATAATAAAATGTCAAAACATATAGTACAAGAAATAATAGCTAGAGGAGGATAGGAAAGGAGAAACAAACACATCCAAAGGTTTAAGGAAGAAAGCCGTATTCGTTTTCAGTTGTACTTCCAAAGATACCTATGCAACCATTTCCTTGATCTTCTAATCTTTCCTTGATCTAGATTGACTCTTTCTGTGCCCGATTCTGGCCCACAGAGTCAAAAGAGATAATAGAGTTCTAGTCAAAATTCATTAAATTGCAAAGAACAGGAGCCCATTTAAATTAGGTTAGTTTCAAAGGGTTACTTTGAATAGTTCTGGGAAATGTCAGACTTCCATAGTCAGGAATGTGGCTGGGCTTCACGGGGTAAGCCATGAAGACCTATGGTGCTGTGGCTTCTCTCTCTGTTGTTTCTTCTCTGAGTCCATATATTTTTCATGTCTGCTTCATTCTACTCTTTGTTCATTAACCTTTCTCTTCTGTGCATGCACATGCTACCAAAACACCAAGGGTTCCACCCAGATCTTGCTGCTTGCTGCGCAGAAAGGCAATCACGAGACGGCAACTATTGCCAGGAAGAGCTTTCATCAGGCGCTGCAGCACAGGAGACTGGAGCTCAGCCTCAAATCCATCTCCCTGACTGACTAAAACTAGGGGTTTATATAGTGGGAAAGAAATGAAAACAGGAATTAGGGAGGGGTCCAGAAGCCATTGTGGTGAATGAGGGTTCTGGCATCTCATTGGAGGCAGTGATTTGGTGAGTTTTTGTTCTTTGACACTTTTTGAGAGGCCTGGGAGTAAGTTCTTGAGGAAGGAACTCAAATAAAACGAATGCAAATTTTAAGCTTTAAGACTAGAATAGTCCATTTCTTTGTTTATTTAAAAAAATGTCTATGGGACTATTGGGTTGGTTTCACGTGATCCTCTTTGCCAATAACTTACTTTGCACACAGCTTTTATTTGCCATTGAAATTTCATACTGAAACTTCTTTCAAACTGAAATTTCCCTTGCACTTGTATATTAGAAATGGAAACAACAAGGCATGGAGGTTGGAATTAATATAGCAAGTTTGAGGACAATATAAAAACTCACCTCAATGGAATAGTGTGATCACTGATAATCATGATTATCTTATTCAAAATATGTATTAAATTAAGATGCAAGCATGAAAAACTGTAAAAATTAGACAAGGAACAGATATAAGTGAATTTTCAGGATTTTTTTTCATGTAACATTAGCTTACCAAAATATTAATACTTATATGAGAAATGGATGAGTATTACAATGTATTTGGGTGTCTTTTACTAAAAAATGTTCAAGTTTATTTAATGTGCATCACCTCCGAGCCTTTCGTACACCAATATGTGGTACTGTTTTTCATGGCAGATGGTAAAATGCAGCATTTTAAAAACCATTTGACTATAGTTCCCAACTATCTATGTCAGATACATTTCCAATAGTAGTGTTCAGTTAATAGTTTTAATGAATACTGAATACACACACAGATACGTAAAAATATGAATGAAAGATGTATACCAATAAAAAGTTGAAGATGCCAATGTTAATTTCACTGCTAACAAAAGGAAAATAGATTTGAACAAGGTGCTATTTTAATTAAATTAGCATACTTTTTGTTACAAAGATCGGAATATTCAGAGATAGGCCCTCTCACCTCTGCTGGATTGGAAAGCAGTCTGGTAATTTATACAGATGGCACTGAGAAAATGTAAACCATTAGATTCCATCATCCCACTCTAGCTGTTCAACCTGAAGGAAAAACAAAACGAAAAGAAAGTTTATGAGCAAAGATTTTCATTTTGGCATTGTTTATAACGACAAAGATCTGAAGCAAGTGTTCTCAGGTAGGGAAATTATTAAATTATGGCATATCTACAAATATAGCCTTGAGTAACCATGAATATCATGGTTTTGGGAGACTGATGATCTGAACAAAGTCTTTTGGTATACATTTAATTTAAAAAGTCCATAAAATTGTATATGTATTAAATATCGTAATTTTGTATACATTAATGATAGAAAAAAAGTCAAATACATCAAATTTTAATCATTTTCGTTATGCAGGTTTATTAGTGTGTATGTCTGTCCAATTCTTGGTAAGTTTTGAGCTCTTGGCATTTTTCAAATCTCCTGCTTTGTTCATATTTATCAAAGAAAATATGTAACGAGGTATGTTGCAGTTGTTAGCTCTGAAAAGGTTCATATCTCCTTGTTTTTGGCTTACAATTAAGGGGTGTTCCAAGAACTGTCACCACATTTAAAATTCCATGTCTAAAGCAGTATGAAGAGAAGGTATTCATTTACATTATGTTTTAGCAACTCGTGAACAATCTTTTAAATGTAAATAGCTGAATGCATATTTCAAAGTTAAATATTAAAGCATTTTTCAAGTGCAGATTTACAGTAGTGTAGTTGCTATAAGCATCTGTGAAAGAAAATTTATCATGTCAGAAAATAATTGAAATTGTGACTGAAAGGTTCCTAAGAACAACCTTTTTATCTGTGGCTTAAATAAATACTTTCCATTTCAAAGGCAACTCTAACTGCACCATATAGCTCAAGTGATCAGTAAAAGTAGACAACTGACTTCTTCAAGGAGTTTTAATTTTTATGTGATTTGATCAACTCACAGACTATAAATTCTACTGTCAGAGCTAAACATATGCATAGGCTTATCTGAATTCTTGTATTCCAGGCATCGAGTAAAATATGTTCATGTCACTAGCTTCTTTCAAGTAGTGTTTATCATCATCTCCCTGATTGCCTAATATAAGTTTACAACCAGTCTCCTAGGTGTACTAGTACATTACAGCTCTCCCACAGATCTCATAAACAGCGACATCTTCGGTAATGAATGTCAAAATCCTGCCAGCCTAAGAGTATATTATCCATCTCCATGTCTCATTGCTGACATACCAAGTGAGAAGCTCATTCCAAACTCCTTAGTCAAACAAACCTTAAGATACAAAGTTGACACTAGTTGCATGAGGAAGGCGTTTTATAAATCCAATCAATTATAAAGACACTGAAAAAATGTCTCATCTTAATAGTATCACTGTATTTGTCTTTTTAATTTTTTTCTTAATTTGTCTCCTATTATGGAAATTTTTGAGAGGATAGGATTTTAAGGCTAGAAGGAATCTTAAAGATGCTGGTCTGAACAATTAATTTTTCATGTTAAGCTTAAAGAAGAATGAGGTTAATATATTTCTTTAAAATTACACTGGAAACTGGTGGTCTATTCAGAACTACAACTAAACTATTTTGATTCCCTGTCTGATGCTAATTTCATTAGACCAGGCTAACTCACCAAATAACTTGAAATTTTCCAAACTTGTCTGGTTAGAGTAACCACATTTTGCATATGTAAAAATGGATTATCTATTCCTCATCCTCTACTTCCATTCCCTCTCCTCCTCTCCCCACCTGACCTTCCTTCTCTCCTCCCCTTTTCCTCTTCCCTTCTCTTTCCTTCCTTTTATCTATCCCTTTCCACCTCCCTCCTTCCTTCCTGTCCTACTCTTCTTTCTTTCTGTCTCCTTTCTTTGCCTCTCTATTCCTTCACTCCTTCATTCATTCTTCCCTACCTCTCTTCCTCCTTTTTCCCATTTCTTTTTACTTTCTTTTTTGGTTTTTAAATCATATTTAAGTTCTGGGATACATGTGCAGAACGTGCGGGTTTGTTACACAGGTATACACGTGCCATGGTGGTTTGCTGCACCCTTGAACCCGTCATCTTCATTAGGTATTTCTCCTAATGCTATCCCTCCCCTTGCAAGCCACCCCACAACACGCCCCAGTGTGTGATGTTCCCCTCCCTCTGCCCATATGTTCTCAATGTTCAACTCCCACTTATGAGTGAGAACATACAGTGTTTGGTTTTCTATTCCTGTGTTCGTCTGCTGATAATGATGGTTTCCAGCTTCATCCATGTCCCTGCAAAGGACATGAACTCATTCTTTTTATGGTTGCATAGTATTCCATGGTGTATATGTGCCACATTTTCTTTATCCAGTCTATCGTTGATGGGCTTTTGGGTTGGTTCCAAGTCTTTGCTATTGTGAATAGTGCTGCAATAGACATACATGTGTATGTGTCTTTATTGTAGAGTGATTTATAATCCTTTGGGTATATACTCAGTAATGGGATTGTTGGGTCAAATGGCATTTCTAGTTCTAGATCCTTGACGAATCGCCACACCGTCTTCCACAATGGTTGAGCTAATTTACACTCCCACTAACAGTGTGAAAGTGTTCCTATTTCTCCACATCTTCTCCAGCATCTGTTGTTTCCTTACTTTTTAATGATCGCCACCTCTAACTGGCATGGGATGGTATCTGATGGTGGTTTTGATTTGCATTTCTCTAATGACCAGTGATGATGAGCATTTTTTCATATGTTTGTTGCCACATAAATGTCTTCTTTTGAGAAGTGTCTGTTCATATCCTTTGCCCACTTTTTGATGGGGTTGTTTATTTTCTTCTTATAAATTTCTTTAAGTTCTTTGTAGATTCTGGATGTTCGCCCTTTGTCAGATGTGTAGATTGCAAAAATTTTCTCCCATTCTATAGGTTGCCTGTTCACTCTGATGATAGTTTTTTTTCTTTCCCTCTCTCTTTCCATCCCTCCCTTTCCAACTTTCTCCTTCTGTTGCCTCCTTATAGCCTCCTTTGCCCCACTGTCTTGGTAATAGTGGTACTCACCTCTCTATATACACTTACTTTACAGAACACATTTTGATCATGTCTTCTCTATCATTTTCTCTTGCTTAAACATTGATTTTGAGAAGGATGGACATTGGGGCTAATAATTCTTTGCCACCCTCCAGTTTTCTTAATTCATTGGCTTAAATCCAATCAAAGAATCAAAAAGGTTAGAATTAATTGATAAGTCTATCTAATTGATGGTAAGATTCTTTTCTGAATTTTCTAGATTATTATAAAAACAAACATTTTCTTTAAGAATACACTTTTAAGGGCATTATATCACTTGTTTTAGATTAATTGACTTTGGTTTTTATATTCATTATGTGACTTTATAGATGTTGAGGCCTTTCCACATTTGAATTGCAAAATAACAATATATTGATATAGATGAAAATAAACCAAAAAATCTCCAGCATGCTCGTATCTGTTCATCAATATAAAAAGCTCTATCATGAATAATGTGGCAACCTATATGAAGAAAACAATTTTAGACAAAGCTATTCAGTAGTTTTCTCTTCTTCTTTCAACACATAAAAGCAATTGCTATGGAGCTTCCTAGCTGCATGAGATGCGTCTTTAGGTGTTCGATGATTATAAATATGAATACAATTATGGTGGTCCTACAGAAAAGTATAATCAGGAATTGTGAATTAAAGAAAAAATAATGGGCCAGGCGCGGTGGCTCACGCCTGTAATTCCTGCACTTTGGGAGGCCGAGGCAGGCGGATCACGAGGTCAGGAGATCGAGACCATCCTGGCTAACACGGTGAAACCTCGTCTCTACTAAAAATGCAAAAAATTAGCTGGGCGGGCGCCTGTAGTCCCAGCTACTCGGGAGGCTGAGGCAGGAGAATGGCGCGAACCCGGGAGGCGGAGCTTGCAGTGAGCCGAGATCGCGCCACTGCACTCCAGCCTGGGCGACAGAGTGAAGACTCCGCCTCAAAAAATAAAAGAAAAAATATTGTGATAAAATATTAGTGTTTGGTGATAGGGGATACAAGTTATTTTCTTACCGTTGGTATTTAACAATGTTATTTAAACATACATTTAAAGTTGATCTAATCTATATTTACAAAATTGAATCCATTTGCAAATATCTGCAGTGCTTGATTAATTGATTTGACTAGCTTATTTTTGGAATGACCAGACCATTTGCAAGGTCCAATTCAAAACTATTTGATTGATTAGGAAAAAGAGGAGGAAAGTTTTGTGGAAGGAAGAAACTTCTATTCATTAGAAAATAATTAATGGCTACATATGCCCTCTGTACAAAATTATAATGATAAATACTTCTGGGAGTAGGGAAAATATGGTCTAATGACAACACATACATTACATTGTAAAGAACTTTTATTTTTGTTGTATGACCATTGTTCTTACAACATCTCGGGACTAGGGAAAATATGGTCTAATGACAACACATATATTACATTGTAAATAACTTTTATTTTTGTTGTATGACCATTGTTCTTACAACATCTCGGGACTAGGGAAAATATGGTCTAATGACAACACATATATTACATTGTAAAGAACTTTTATTTTTGTTGTATGACCATTGTTCTTACAACATCTCAGAATAGTAATCATATTAATAAAATAATGAGAACACTAATGTCCTAGAAGACCAGGAGAGTTACCTTGTTGGGTGAAGTATGGTAGGTGGACTAGCAGGGAATACTAGCTGGTTCTAAAATGTAAATGTAGAAAGTTACATAAATACTCCTGGAACTTTAGAGTTCCATATTGGATATAACAGATTAAGATTCAAGTAAATAAGGACATATACATATGGTTTATTATAATGATGTTAATTTTAAAATAATGTTTATGAAGATTATGGAATACTATAGAGAAATAATGAGGTTATAGTATTAAATAAATAGAAAACAGGAGAAAAATCTTAGTAACCACAAGCATATTTTAAAATGTTTCTGAAATGCCTGTAAGGTGGTACATAAAATTGTAAAAATTGAATCTCTTGTGAGTTGCTATGGCATTTGGCAAGATAGTACAAGATGGATGGTTTTGTATCTATGCATT